AGATATTCGCCTGAATAGGGTCCGCCTCGATAAATAGGAGCAAATCATCGGCGAACATTAAATACGGAATCGAAACCTGGCCTCGCCCAACTGAGATCGGTATCCACTCGCCACACGCCACAGCCGCATCAATCAAATGAGCTAATCGCTCGATACACATGACAAAAAGATATGGAGAAATGGGATCGCCTTGCCTAACTCAACGAGAAGGCAAAAATTCCTCAGTCACGGCACCATTCCACTGTAGTTGCATAGTTGCCGATGTAACACAAGCCATCACAGCATCAACAAAAGTCCCCGGGAATCCCGCTAGCTCCAAAGTGTCACGAATGAAGTCCAAGCGAAGGAAATCATAAGCTTTCTCCAAGTCCACCTTGACGACCATTATCCCTTTCTTTCCTTTCACCCCGCGCATGGAATGGATAAGTTCCTGAGCAATGATAATATTATCCGTAATATGCGGTCCTAGAACGAAGCTAGCCTGAGCCGGGTTGATAAGGAATAGAAGCACTGGCTTAATCCGCTCCGCAAAGGACTTTGGTCGTCAACTTGTAGACCACATTGAGTAGGCTAATAGGACGAAACTATTTCAAAGAAATGGGGTTCTCCACCTTCGGTATCAGCACCAATAAAGTCCGATTCAGAGACCTCGGGACCCCACTCTTTTCCAAATCTCACCAATCTGAGCGCAGACCGAAGGGTCGACATGTCGCCACTTGCGTTGAAAGAACAAGGCATGTAACCCGTCAACCCCAGGCGCCTTAAGAGGCGCCATATTCTTCAGAGCCGAAACCACCTCCGAGTCTGAGATATCAGCCGCCATGGTCTAAACGTGACCATCCTCCAACACTGGAAAAGAGCCCGGCAGACGAAGCCCGGGTGATCCCACCGCTGGACCCGAGTAAATATTTATAAAGAAGTCAACTGCCATCCTTTGCATCACATCTGGGTCGTCAACGATATCACCATCTGCATCCTGGAGCGCTACAATCTTATTTTTTCGACGTCGATGTTTAACCAGCCGGTGATAATAGAAGGTATTACGATCGCCAAATAAAACCCAGTCCCGTCGGGATTTTTGTAGAAATAATAACTCCTCCTTTAAAAGAACAGTGTCCAAGTCCTTATTTAGTTGCACTTCCAAAGTAGACAGGAAAGGATTCCTCCCATAATCACGATGTCTTTGAACACCTCCAATCCGGGCCAGCAATCTTCTTTTGCGACGAAATATGTTCCCAGACACATTAGCATTCCAATCACTAGCTCGGGAAGAAAAGGTCGTCACCTTGGCTTCATACAGACCTTCCATCGACCAAGCGCTTTCCACCAAAGAATCAAAACTCTCATGCGTGAGACAAGAGGCGAGGAAGCGAAAAGGTTTCAAACCATGCGGTCTAGGCTCCCTACCAGCGCGAACAAAGAGAGAGGTATGGTCAGAGTGCATCCAAGGAAGGTGAAATACCATGCTCTTGGGGAACATATCCGCCCACGCTTCGTTGCCTATCCATCTGTCCAGCTTCTCGGCGAGTCCATTTCTGAACCACATTGCTTGTGCCCCGTCCGTCCTAAGTTCAAAAAGGTCGTTATCAAAAATTCAATCCACAAAAGTCGAACTAACATTGCAATTCCTAACCGACCTTCCATGCTTCTCTGATATACGAAGAAGGCAATTAAGAAATTTTCCATGTTTTTTAGGCATCTTTGCTATGTTGTTTGGACAAATTTTTTACATATTCTATGATTCACACATTATTTTAAAAAATGAAATCAGTGACGGATCTAGAAATTTTATGAAGAGGGGCCCAAAATAATAATAACAAAAAAAAAATATTAATTGTAAAAATAAATAAATTAGGCAAGCACCGACTAAATAAACATAGTACATATATCCAAGTACTCAAGTCAAGAAAATAACTTACAATAATACTAAGATATCACAACATTTCTCTTCTATTTTTCATGTTTTGAAATCGTTGCATGATAGCCTCATTGCTAACATTCCGAAATATATCTTTCTCTATGTATGCCATTAAACAATCATTCAAAAGCTCATCACCCATTCGGTTGCGCAGTGTACTTATGATGATTTTCATTGCCGAAAAAGCTCTTTCCACTGTAGCAGTGGCAAAGGGTAAAATCAATAACAACTTAATCAACAAGTAAACCAATGGAAAAACATCATGTTTTCTTTTAGACACCATCTTTTGAGCAAGATCTCCAATATTGGCTACATTCGAGAAGTCTTCATCTAAGCGCATATCAAAAACGAAATTCTCGAGCTGATTTTCAAGTTCATGTAAAGCAACTGTAGAAAACTCTGATGGGTAAAATTCTGCAAGACAGAGCAATTTCCCTTTATCAAATGCAGAAAATGAGTCTCTTGGATCAAAGCATACCATTGACAAGAGTAGCTCCGTGTTCACTTCATCAAACCGATTATTAAGCTCTTGAGCTAGCATATCAATCACGGAGTAGAACAACTCAACTCGATAATGGTGAAGATTGGTCATCTTTTCAATGTTGCGTCTCGGTCTTCCTCGAGTTGCATACACACCTTCCATATCCAATATAACTATGTCATATTTGCCACAAAACTTAAAAACTTCAGCCAGTACATCATCCCAACCATTATCTCTGATGGCTTGCATGCGAGCTTTAGCGACTTTAACAAGTTTCATCGCATTAACAATATCTTGATCCCTTCTTTGAAGAACTTGAGACAACTCATGCGTGACTCCCAAAATTTTCATCATAAAATGTAAAGTAAAGATGAAATCGAACATATTCACAATCTCTAACAAATCAATGGTTTCAGCCTTTTGTGAAAAATCATTTCTTCTTTCACCAATATACTCAAGAACATCAGTAATAGATGAAAATAAATGCACCAAGTTTATGAGAGTACCGTAAGGTGAACTCCAACGAGTGTCCCCCGGTCGCTTCAAAGTCATCTCCTGATTTAATCCTTTTCCTGTCTCAATCTCATTGCTTGCAATCCCCTCAATTATTTTCTCCTTTTGCTTTTCTCTAAGCATATCTCTATGCTTACAAGAACCTCCAACAATATTAGTTAGACGAGTAACAGTTATTGAAGAAAGAACCGACACTTGTATGCTTTTTAGCAACAGAAACGAGTGTGAGTTAGAGTTGGTGAGCAAAACAATGGACATAGTATGCGCTAGAATTTTTCTTTAATATCAAACTTTTTAGTCCATTGAACTCACCTTTCATATTGCTCGCTCCATCATAACATTGTCCACTTAAACTAGAAATACTCAGGCCATAAGTAGAGAACAAAGAGCAAATACCTTGCTCGAGTGAAGTTGCAGCTGTATCACTAACATGAACCAAACCAAGAAAGCGTCCAATAACACATCCACTCTTATTCACATAACGTATGACAACATCCATTTGCTCTTTCACTGAGATATCCAGACACTCATAAAATGGAGAAAAAATCATGTCCAAGATCTTCAATAATAGCATTTGTTGTCTCGATTGATGTCGCACTAATTATATCTTTTTGGATCGTAGAAGAAGTAAGTTTATGATTTTCAGGAGCATTACCCAACACAACATTATGAATTACCTCATTACATGAAGCAAGAACTTTTAGGAGTTCAATAAAGTTCCCTTGGTTTAATGATTCATATGGCTCATCATTCCCTCTAAAAGGTAGACCTTGCATAATGAGATAACGCAAGCAAACAATCAATGCATTCAATCTACAACGATAATCAATTTTTGATTGACTTGTTTCTTTTGAAAGAGACACATCAATATGTTGAGCTTGATTCATCAAATTTTGACAAGCAACTCTACATTTATCATGATCACTATTATGATTCCCAACATGATCTCTTAGTCTTTCCTTCTTCCGCCAATTATTAAATCCTCCCACTACAAAAGCATCGTGACTTCTTTCACTGCTCCCCATAAAAAAAAAAAAGATAACAATATAAACAATATGCAACATCTTTCACAATGTTATACTCCAACCAATCCTTGAATTCATCAAACCAAGATGCAACAAATTTACGTTTTCGATTTCCATCTAAAGTTTGAGGAAAATCATGCTCGCGTGGTTGACATGGACCTTTTGACAAGTAAGCTCTACGAACTTGTTGTATCAAATTTGGCGGATAGCTTGTTATGCTAGGTCGTAGTCCAGGATCGCTTGGAAGATTTTTCAAATGAAACTCCGCATTATATTCATTCCATAATGGAACTTGAGAATCACAAAAAATTGGAGGCGTTTCAGATGGTAGGGATAATGCGGCCGTCGTAGGAGCTTTAGTTGAAGAGGATGATGTTTCAACACTCTTTGACAGTTTCTTATAAAATCGTTCCATGACCTAAGTTTTAAAATAAATAAATAAAAATTAGAATATATAATAATCATAAAGCAAAAAATTCCAAAAAAACAAAAACAAAAAAAAAAAAAAAAAACAAAAAAAACCCAACCCATAGAGGCAAAAACAAAAAAATCAATTCAAAGTGATGAACCTTTTCTTTTCTCTCTCACTCAAATTAAAATTTTAGTTGGTCCCTCAATAGATTATAGATAAATTGATCATGAAACCATCAAAAAGCATAAATACATGACCTAAGAAACAACAATAATTCAAATAGTCTACAATCAACCCACTAAAGAAAAAGAAACAACAATAATTCAATTAAAAAGGCAAATTAATTGATTTTTTCTTTCATTAAAAAACCTAAGAAATTTGTTACACAAATACAATACTTTCTCCCCCACCCACAGCCCCACCCTGCCACCCACCGAAGAAAACAATTAAACCCGTTACCCATCTCCATTTTTCTCTATTCCCTAATCTATTACAGCATATAAAATTTCCTTCCCACCTATTTGCTTAATTCATGAAAAAAAAAAGAAAAAACAGAAATCAGATTCTTGCTGTTGCTAGACAATTGACATTCAGAAATTAGAAAAAAAAAAGCTTACTCAACAAGATGTATTCCAGAAGGGTCGAACGAGGATGAAACTGAAGCCGCTGATCTGCCAAACTGGATGGACGCACCTCTTTCTTTTTATCGTTTTCTATCAATTCAAATCTCAAGGTCGGATTAGGTTTTTTTGTACAAATTTTCCTCTGTTTCTCGTTGCTCTCGATCTTCAGCTTTTAAAATATTTTTTTTATTTTTTTTAATTAATTGTAAAATTATTAAAATACCCCTGGGTTTTTACAAAATTTCAGGAGGGCCCAGTGCTTCCCCTGGGCCCGCTACAGGTCCGTCTCTGAATGAAATAGAATATTTTAAATACTTTTATCTATGTAATAGAATTTTCCGACCAGGTTATTGTCACGGGTCCTCGTTCTCACTCATTCGTATATCTGAATTAAGACATCTGGCTGATTATCCGAGTAGGTCGAAAAAACTTGCTCCTTCTTTGTCGGGATTGTACTGTTTCTCAGGATTAACACAATCATCACACGTCTGGCAGTCTTGAGACCGAGAGAAAGAGGAGTTACCTCGAGAAGCAAAAGGTCTTGCACCTTCTCGTTACCTTCGCCGCTCAGAATAGCGACCGGGACAGCAACACCTTAAACAACGGCCTCGTCGGGGTTGATGCTCTTGCAAAGCTCTTTCTGGTAGAAAAAGTCTTGTAAAAGCTGTTGAACTTTCGAGATCATAGTGGTCGTGTTGTCGTAGGCACCCAAATTAATATTGCTTAAAAATATGTAGTAGCGTGAGCAAGGATCATATCCACGGGGAATAATTTAATTTGATGACTCTAACTATGTGATTAAAATGGGAAAGATTTGATTTATAATCCTAAATATTTAATTAACAAGAAAATAAAGAGAATATTGGTAAACTGTTATTAAATGAAAGATTCAAAAGTAAACATCAAAATGAAGTTAAAAATATAGCTAAAGTGAAGTTACCTCGAGAAGCAAAAGGTCTTGCACCTTCTCGTTAACTTCGCCGCTCAAAATAGCGGCCTGGACAACAGCACCTTAAGCAACGGCCTCGCGGGGTTGATGCTCTTGCAAAGCTATTTCCCGTAGAAAAAGTCTTGTAAAAGTTGTTGAATTTCGAGATCCTAGTGGACAGGTGTTGTAGGCACCTAAATTAATATTGCTTAAAAATATGTAGTAGCGTGAGCAATGATCGTATCCACGGGGAATAATTTGATTTGATGACTCTAACTATGTGATTAAAATGGGGAAGATATGATTTATTATCCTAATTATTTAATTAACAAGAAAATAAAGAGAATATTGACAAACTGTTATGAAATGAAAGACTCAAAAGTAAACAACAAGACAGAAGTTAAAAATATAACTAAAGTGCTCCGGTTGAATTTATTTCCACTCCGAATTATTCTACAGATCCTTGATGCAAATATTATCAATTCATAACTACGTAGTTGCCGTTGAAAGATGAATTCTATCTCCTAAATTGATTATGCAAAATAAGTCCTACTACATAACCCTTATTACTTGGCAATTCCCAATATCGTGTACAATTATCCTAGCAATAGCATTAAGACTTAGTGACCGACAACATAAGCGACAAACAAATAATCTGTTAAATATAAACTTGTATAATTATTTTACCTAAAAATGATAATGCCTAAATCTGGTCAATTACCACACTTAGTTGCTTCTTACGATAGATAAATTATTTAAATCCGACTCAATATCTACCAAACCTCACAGATTAAGTGCATAAGACAATAATTGATTAAGCTACGATCCTAACACAAAATCATTAACATAAACACACAAAACAATAGATACAAAATATGAATTAATAGATAAAGGCTAATTATATCTCACAGTATAAAGTTCGAGGTTACAATCGTATTCAACCGAAGCAAAAGAGAATTAGCCGCGTAAGGCTTGCATAAAGTCTAGCAAAAGTATATCAAAAAATCTAGAGAAAAAGAAGTGAGAACTTGAAGGCTGTTGCTCGTGAAGATTTCTTCTGTCTGCTCCTTGCGGCTAGTACATGCAGTGTAGGTCTTCAAAAACTGATCTCTCCTCTATTTATCATGGTTCCCCCTTTAATAATAATCATGGGCTAGTATTACTAGGCCCATATTCATAAATAATACCAAATGTTGGTTGTTTGTTCTCTTAGAAATCTAACATTTCCCTTAGAAATCTAACATTGCTATGTCCAACACAATTCCAACACTGTCATGTTGGTTATACCTGTAGGAAATTAAAATTTTGAGCCAATAAAATGGTGACAAGTGTCAAATTCCATGTCAAATTCAATTTAATAATTTTCTATTTTATTTGGGAAATTAATCAAATTTTAATTCCTAAATTAAATAGTTAATAAATTGATTATTTAATATATATTATTGGCCAATTAAAGAATGTCACATGTATATTTTGAAGGTCAATTAAAGAATGCTGATATAGCCCTACTTGCGAACCGGAGTCAAATATGAGGAGGTTTGAATGCAACCGAGGAAGAGCGACCTGAAGATTTCTAGACAAGACTTGAAGGTCTTGGTGACTAAGATAAAATGCTCCTACGACTAAGTATGGGGGAGTAGGGGTGTTCTATGTAACTAAGTATGAGAAGTTCTCCACGACTAAGTATGAGAAGTAGAGGTGCTCTTCTCTACCTGCTAAATATCACTCACCTCTACTTGCTAGAGGTCATCTCACCTCTGCCTACTAGAGGCCATCACATCTACTTGCTAGAGGTCATCTCATCTCGACTTGCTAGACGTCTATCACCTCTACTTGCTAGAGGTCATCGCACCTCTACCTGCAAGAGACTTCTGCTCCTAGACTTCCGCTCCTAGACTTCGTCTCCTAGATTTACGCTGCTAGACTTCGGCTCTTAGACTTCCACTCCTAGACTTCGTCTCCTAGACTTCCGCTCCTAGACTTCGTCTCCTAGACTTCCGCTCCTAGACTTCCACTGCTAGACTTCGGCTCCTAGACTTCCGCTGACCACAAGAGCATGATCTAGAGGCAGTAAATGGATAAGAAGGATTATGATGATGACTAAGAAATGAGGGGAGACCAAACGACCAGGGCATTTTGGAAATTCCATCTAAGTCGGCCAGGGTACTTTGGGGACTTCAAATAAGTGTTTTACCCCTATATAAAGGGGATGAGGTAACTCTAAACCCTAACTCCCATTCATTCCATACACTCTCCTCTTCTACTGCTGCTCTCTGAGAGCAGCTCTTCTCTTCTATCTCTTTCACATTCTACGCACTTCTACATACATTACATTACAGCTCTAGACTATAGAGCTCTCATCTTCCCTCTTTACTGACTTGAGCGTCGGAGGCCCGACGCTGGGACCTCTCCCGGCGTTGGGTTCTTGCAGGTATTCGCGGCGATCTAGAGGCGATCTAGACAGATCGGAGCTTATCTCCACCAGTTCACTCCAGATCTAGGAGTAGACCCATCAAATGCCACATGTCATTTTCTTGGAGAGTAAAATAAATAATTATTTCTTTTAATAATTATTAAAGAGATAAATAAGTGGAAATTCATGGACCAATCAAATTGAAGTCTTCTTTTCCAAGACTCTCTCTCCTAATTATCTCTTTAAATAATTATTAAGAGATAAATATTGGAAATTATGGACCAATCAAATTGAAATCTTCTTTTCCAAGACTCTCTCTCCCAACACCTATAAATAGGGGCTCTCCCTAAGGTGAAAAATCACAATTCATATTCAAGTTTCAAGTTCAAGAGCTCTAGAGAATTCTCTCAGCGAGATTCAAGTGTTCTTGAAGATTCAAAGGCGTTCTTGAAGATCCGAAGGAAGATTCAAGCGCGATCAAGCCCAAGACCGACGTTTAATCCGGAAACAAGCTGACAAGCCTCTGAATTGCGTCATTAAATTCAAAGTGGTCTTGAAGATTCGAAGGCGTTCTTGAAGACCCGAAGGAAGATTCAAGCGCGTTCAAGCCCAAAACCAATGTTCAATCCAGAAACAAGCTATCAAGTCTCCGAATTACGTTATTAAAGTCAAGACCGGCGTAGAGAAGATCGAAGATCAACTTTGCGACAAAGACCAAGGACTCGTGTTCTTCACGTTCTTGGAAAATCACGACGTTTAATTCGATATCAAGCTGTCAAGCCCTCGAAGAAACGCTATTTAAATCCATATTCAAGACCGACGGAGTTCAAATTGAAGATTCATCTCCAAAAGTCTCATATCCATTTGAAGATTGTTCTTGAAGAAATTAATCAGAGGAATATAGAGATTTGTAATCCACTATATTTCTTTTGATCCGTTGAAAATCAATTTGTACGAAGTTCTCGTTTTTATTAATTCAAGAATACGAAATTTTGCATTACAAATTTCTGGCACGCCCGGTGAGACAATATCTACCTCTCATCTCTTTTCTTCAAATATATAAGTGCAACGATGACTCCTCCCAAGTCAACTTCTTCAAGTTCTGCAAGCGAAAGTGTTGGGGTCGTAACAAGAAGCATGGCAAGAAACAAGAGTGCATCTCTGGAAGTTGGCTCTTATCAAGTCGAGGAAAATCGGCCGTCTTTGATGAACCAAGAGGAAGATTTGAGTAATGATGCTTCATCAACACCTTTCTCAATGGAGGCGCATGTTATGATGACGAATGCATCAACCATTGAAGAGAAACTAGCAACCATGGCAAAAACAATGGAGTCGTTGATGAAACATGTCCAAAATCAAGACTCCATAATTTTAAAGTTGATAGAAAGGGTCGACAAAGCTGAGACTAGCCGTGCTGAGGGGAAGCACGACGAAAGACATGAGGATGAAGAAACTTTTAAAGAAGATGAGGTGAAACAAACTGAAAAAGAGAAGTCTTCGTCAGAGATCCATGTTTCTGCAAGTGGACTCATACCAGCTCACCAATTCAAAGAATTCATCATGGGAACCATCAAGGACAAATTTGATGGAGGCTCCAAGTCAACTTTTACTTACTCAAAGCCATACACCCAAAGGATTGATAGCTTGAAGATGCCTACTGGATATCAACCACCGAAATTCCAACAGCGCGATGGTAAAGGCAGCCCGAAACAACACATAGCTCACTTCATTGAGACTTGCAACGATGCTGGAACATATGGAGATCGTCTTGTGAAGCAGTTTGTTCGATCATTAAAGGGAAATGCATTCGAGTGGTACACCGACTTGGAGGCGAATTCTATTGATAGTTGGAAGCAACTAGAGCAAGAGTTTCTCAATCGTTTCTACAGCACACGAAGGACGGTCAGCATGATTGAGCTCACCCATACAAAGCAGGGGGATGAAGAGCCTGTTATTGACTACATCAACCGATGGAGAAATCTATGCCTCAATTTCAAGGATCGACTATCTGAAGCTTCGACTATTGAAATATGTACTCAAGGGATGCACTGGGGTCTCTGATACATTCTGCAAGGAATTCATCCAAAGTCGTTTGAAGAACTAGCCACTCGTGCACATGATATGGAGTTAAGCATGTCTATAAGCGGGGTCAAGAATCCACATGTCTATGAGCCTCAAAGATTCAAGGACCGAAATGAAGCCAACAAAGGGGGCAAGTTTTTCTCTAGAGCACCTAACAAAGAGGTAAAGAAAGCAATGACAGTCAATGCAAAACCCATCAAACTCAAGGGAAACACAAGCGAGAAATTTGTGGAAAAGAAAGAAGTCCCTCAAGACAAGGGGCAAAGAAAGTTAACCTTGAAAGAAATGCAAGCCAAACAATATCCTTTTCTTGACTCTTATGTTTCTGGAATTTCCGACGACTTGATTCGGGAACAACTTATCGAACTACAGGAGATGAAACGACCTGAAGAAGCAGGACAAGTTGACAATCCAAAATACTGCAAGTATCATCGTCTGGTGAATCACTCCATTGAAGATTGCTTTGTGTTCAAAGATAGAGTTATGCAGCTGGCACGACAAGGCAAGATATCGCTTGAAGAAGACAAAGGGACTGCGAACTTTGCTTCAATTGTGACCTGCGATGAAGGATATGAAAGTTTCACTTGTAATGTGACGAACGAGCAAGAGGATGTCCCAAATAATGATGAGTCGACTGATG